CAGGCAGTACGTGAGTTACAAACATCTAATTTAGATATGACTCCGAGTTACAAATAGGGGTGAAACAATTGGAAGTGAGATAAATCTGCCCCTAGGAAGGGAAACCCAATCCTGTAAGAGTTATCCTGGGGAAAAGGTGTCTACAATGAAGATTTATCACCAATCCTTGTTTCCACAACAACCCACATTTTTTAAAAAACCAACTGTCACAGGGACAGAAAATGAGAAGATGGATCAAGAAAACATGCATTTTCCCTATTGTCGCAATGAAAATGAATGTAAACACTCACAGACACAAAAGCCTTTTGCCTTTGGCCAAGACGTTGTCTTCTGTAGAGTTTTACAGAAGAACATATATACATGCAGAGTCCAAATGTTCTCTTTGAGACACAAGCCTTTTAGAACTCCAAACTCCTTCCAGCAAACTCCTCCAGCTCCTCCAAACACACCTCCCCAACAATCCAGCTCCAGCAACAACCACCTCCAACAACTCACAGCAAGGAGTAGTACTTTAGTTCCTTTATTCCCCTTGCAGCTGCCCCACCCTGGCTGTAACCACACAATATTGGCCAAGTGGTTTGGCTCACACCCTGCTGCATTTATTCTTGCACCACTTACTGCTTGCTACTTAAGAAATAAACTCTAACACCTATGCTATCCAAAACTTTTTTTTAAAAAAATAGCAGGAATTACACCTAAAAATGTACCTGTTCTAACTTGCATGCAAATTCAACTTAAGAACAAACCTAAAAAAATCATATTCTTAACCTAGGAACTGCCTGTATATGGTGTGAATTGTTGAAGAAAGTGGTGTTTTGGAGATCTTCCTAGTCCTTTCATGCAATAATGTAAACTCTTGATTGCTCCAGCCTTCTATGCAATCCAATGATTTGAAGTTACAGGACAGCAGAGTACAATTAAAAATGAGAAGGAATTTCTTGTCAATGAAGGCATATCAACAATAGTCTCTTTTTGATGTCTTCAAGAAGAAACAGAACTGCTACTTGATGCGAGTAATATATTTGAAAATTCTGCATTTAACAGGGTTGGTCCTGATAGCCCAGCTATCAAACTTTTATGATTATGTAGTTTTATATTGAGTTCAGGACTATTCCACACATTCATATATTTATTGTGTAGAAAATAGCATTTTCTGCACAGGTTCTACTCTGCTCAAGGTGGAAGAAAATATCATTACACAAATTGCTGTATTTGGAGCAGTAATTTCTGTGAAGAAAAGGTTGTACTTGAGAATTTTTAAAAAAACTGCACAAAAAACAGCATTTTCGGTACAGCATTTCTTTTGCAGTAATACTATTTTCTGCACAGAAAATACTACATCCTACAAATATTTTTTTTAAAGCACATATGTGAATTTTATGCTGACTTAATCTTGAACTATGAATACCTCTGTCTGTCTAGGATTCTCCTCATCATGGTTTCCTAACACTCATGGTTCCATAATGAGGAGACTCCTGGACTGACAGAAGTAGTCATAGTTCAAGATAGTACCATTTTTTTCAACCATTTATTGAACATTTTGACTATATATTTTTTTTCTCTACACCAGGGCTGATTAAACTTTTTCCACTCATAACACTTTTTAGCCCAAAAAGTGTTTATGCGGACCTGGTTATATAGGTACATAAAATAGGTATAGAAGTCAAACATTTATTGATAATAAATAACAAAGACATGCATTTTAAAATAACTATTTAGTATACATTTAATTTTATCATTTATTAAAGATGAAATCCAATTTACATACTAATGAGATGTGTTTTCATTTATGTTTACACAAAGCATTGAATCTTTGCTGTATACTAGGGCTGGGCGGTTTCGTTTCGTTAATTCGTAATTCGTTAATAATTCGTTAATTTTTTCAATTACAAAACGATAACGAACCATTCTGGAGCAATTATTAAAAAAACGAATTTTCAAAAACGTTTTGTAAATGCTTCGTATTTCGATATTGTATTCGTTTCGTTATTGTTTTGAGGTCGTTTCGTTATTATTTCCGCATGTCTGGGCCAGTTTTATGGTTTAATTAGTGAAAAAAATTATAATATCACAGCCAACAGTCAACAACAGAGGGAGAGGGAAGCTTCAGAAGGTTTTGGAGGTTTTTTAGCGTATTTCGCGGTCGCGTCCGCCATTAACGAATCGATTCGTTATTGTTTCGGAAATTGATTCGTTATTTTTTTTACCATTTACGAAATTTCGTAAATATCGAACTTTTTAAAAGGAAAATTTTGTAATTATTTTAAATATTGAAACAAAAAAAACCCCCAAATACAAATCGATTTTAGAAACAAATTTTTCCGTTGTTACCCAGGCCTACTGTATACATGATAGTGCAGGACTCAGAACATCAACATTTTTTCATGCTACATGTGCATGTTTGGATAACAGCCTCAACTGGTAGAATGTACTTTGTTGACTCCTTTTTTTATTTACCCTAAATTGGGGAACCGTAATGGGGTGTTTTGGGGGTTCATACCTCCAATCAAAAAAATCCTACTTTGGAAAGTGAACCAGGTACCTGAAATGGACACATACCCATCTCCCTATTGTTCTCATAATAATCTCATAGAAAGATAGAGCTGGATGGCATAAGGGTCATCCAGTTCACTCCCTTTCTTCCATGCAAGAACACAGAATCAATTTACCCCCTAACGCAGTGGTTCTCAACCTGGGGTCCCCAGATGTTGTTGGCCTACAACTCCCAGAAATCCCAGCCAGTTCACCAGCTGTTAGGATTTCTGGGAGTTGAAGGCCAAAAACACCTGGGGACCCCAGGTTGAGAACCACTGACCTAATGTAATGCAATCTAGCTTCTACTTAAAAACTTCCAGAAAAGGAGACTCCAAGGAAGCATATTCCACTATTGAACAGCTCTTACATTCAGGAAGTTCTTCCTAATGTTTAGATGTAATCTCTTTTCCTGTAATTTGAATCCACTATTCCATGTATTAATCCCTAGAGTAGAAGAAAACAAGTTTGCTCCCTCCTCAATTTGACATTCTATCAAATATTTAAACATGGTTATCACGTCCCCTCTGATTACATACATACACACAGTCCATATCCTCCTATCCATTCCCTCCTTTCACAGGTTGCAGACAAATCCTTCTTGAACTTTTAATGGCCGGTGACTGATGTTTTTGGTTTCAAATCAGGATGGTTTATGAACCTAGCTTAGTTTTATAAAATCAAAAGTTGACAGGAAATATTTCTGAAACTGAAAAGAAAAGCAACAAGCAAAGTGAGAATTTTCTGCATACAGTTGCTAACCAATTTACATAAATACCTAAAACATCCACTGCATTGTGTTCAGAAACTTTTTACTGTTGCCATACATTTTGCAACCCCAACATTCAGCTAAGGTGACCTCATTTGGGTTCATAACCCACAGTTTAAGGAGTTTTGCTCTATACAACATGCCACTGTCACTAACCCCAGATTTAAAGAACATGTATTGGCCATAACACAATAGATCACAGAAAATCAAGACCTAATGCCTAAATTACCTGACTTGACATCAAATTCAGTAATTTACATTGCCCTTACATCACATGTTCTTATGCCAGTTATCAAACAGTGAAGAAACAACTGACCCCCATGCATACACAATATATGCTGATTTCACATCAAATTGACAGCTATTTCTAGGATTATTAAATCATTAAACTCACAGTTTCAGTTAAATTGCCACTGATAAAAGATTGCCAGCCATGCAGGCTCATAGGCCATGTCCAAGATTCAGAGAAAAGAAGGAACATATTTGTAACTAATAAAAGATAACAGGTCAATTTTAACTTCTATAATTATATCCGTATACTCAAGTCCATTCCAATATTAACCTTTTTTTTTAAAAAATGAACACTACAGTTACAATTTAAAAAAATATGACATCAATGGTTTTTTTTAAAGAATTAATAAAATTGATAATTTTGTTATTGTTTAAAAAATCCACTGGCTTGTGAAAAAAAATACCTAACACACCGTATCTGAACCTGTAAAGAACATTTGCTAATGTGGAGCAAACTATAAGTCAGCCAACGTAATGTCTTCTTGCAAAGCATTGTGCCATCTGTAATAAAGCTGCTACAGCTACCTCACTGTTAAAGCAAGGAGAGAACATAGCTGACAAAGCCAGTCACACCAGTAGCCTGCTTGGCCTATTTTCCAGAGTCTGTCCTCCTACTTCTGCTTTCTGCAGTTCTTTCTGCTCTGCTCCCATTTGCCCCACCACTGCTTCAACATCAACAAAGCATACCATAGTAGTCAGAGGAACATCACCGGCATCATACAATATCCCTAAGCCCACACAGAGTAAGACCCTGAAGCCTGCAATTTTATATATATAGATAAACTAAAATAGAGTAAAGTTGATATCACATTTGGCTCCAGTCATAAAGCAATGTAATTCAACTTTCCTCATTTAAAAAAATGAATCAATTGCATGGAATTCATTATTTGTTCCAAGTTACTTCCAAGCTCTGCACCACAGATTGAAACCACTGGAAAATAAGCCTGACAAACATGTCACTTGCAAAGTACCATGTATACAGATGCTAGGTAAACAAATAAATATACAACCAACTACTCCAAAAGAGTTGTGTGAAAGCAAACTGAAATTCGTTCATTTAGTATTTATTTATGACATTTTGGCCCGCCTTTCTCAACCATAAGGCGACTCAAGGCGGGTTACAGATTGGCATAATTCAATGCCATGCATTCATAAAAGTGCAATTAAAAACAGTCAACATAACAATATAAAAACATATATAAAAACCACTAAAACATGTGGTCACCGATGTCATCTTGTTAAAAACATTTTCCAGTAACATTGTCAGTAACACCATTCCATGTTCATCATTCATAGTTTTATGTTATCTATTCCACTGCATTCTCAAAAGCTCAAACTTCCATATATTTTCAAAATTCAGATAGAAATTCAGCTGACCCATCCTATTTTGCCAAGATCCTCAACTTACCACAGTGTTCTTTTCAGATTGATTTCTTAAAACCAGAAGACACTTGATTGAGCTTGTCCAGAAGAAATAAATGAAATTTACTGAAGTCCTCAGGTAACGGAGATGACAATTAATATATCCAATTTTTCAGTAGCCACAGAGTGCATCTCTCAGTTACAAGACAACCATGGCATGGCTTCTTCTCCCTGGAACCAACAAAGACAAGAACAATGTGGTTATAATTAACAACAGCCAATCAATATGTTTTGGAGGCCGACAAGCACTGATGGGTAACTCAGAACAAACTGAGAAGTAGGAAAAAGAGGAAATGACAATGATAAACATATAAGGAGAAGAAAAGACTACACTGTAAAAGGGATGCCTGTAGGATGAGCCAAGGAAAGAGAGGAGGGACTATATACTTCAGTGGCAGAGCACAAACTCTAGGTTGTCAATCCAATATCTTATTCCTCCACTGGAGAAAAAAAATCATTATTTAGGTCCAGCCATATCATTAGGTAGAGCAAGAGTCCATCTACATTGCAGTTGATTCTGCTTTAACAGTCATATCCCCATCCTATGGAATTAGAGCAGAAAATAATATTATAATTTGTGAGAGCCAAAGTCTGTTGCTCGAGGCCGCCATCTCAGGCTGTACCCACACTGCAGAATTATAGCAGTTTAACACTGCAGTGCTATGGAATTCTGGAATTTGTAGTTGGTTGTGATCTCTCTGACAGAGAAATGCAAGACTACTGCAATAGACTACTGCAACACGCTCTATGTGGGGTTGCTTTGAAGATTGTTTGGAAGCTTCAATTAGTCCAAAGGGCAACTTACTGGAGTGACATACAGGGAGCATATCACCCCCCCCCCTTCTGTATCAGCTCCACTGGCTGCTGGTCCACTTCTGAGCACAATTCAAACCTACAAAAGCCCTATACGGTTCTGGCTCAGCTTACCTGTCCGAATGTATCTCCCTCTATGTCCCACCTTGCAGTTTAAGATTGTCCAGGAAAGCCCTGCTCTCAGTCCCGCCAGCCTCACAAACAAGCTTGGTGGGGACGAGGGGCAAGGCCTTCTCGGCGGTGGCCCCACACCTGTGGAACTTGCTCCCCAGTGAGATCAGGTCGGCGTCTTCCCTCCTTTCTTTCAGAAAGAAGGTTAAATTGTGGTTCTGGGACCAGGCTTTTGGACAGCAAGCATGACAGCACTTTGGAAACTGAATCGGACTGGAATTGGCTATATGGGTTGATGACAATGTTTTTAATGTGTTTTTAAATTAATGTTCTATTTACTGTTTTAAACTATTGTTATATTTATTTATATTTGTATTATCTTGTGGCATTGAATTGTTGCCAGCGTAAGCTGCCTTGAGTCCACCCTCAGGGGTTGAGAAGGTTGGGTTAGAAATGTGGGAAGTAAGTAAGCATCACACAGGCAATGTAGTGTTAAACTGCTATACTTCTGCAGTGTGGGTACAGCCTGAGATAGCTGCCTCAAGGAACAGACTTTGACTCTCACAAATTACAGTTTTATTTTCTGCTTCACTAGTCAAACTAAGCTATCTAACCTGGGATATCATGCACTTTGACAATAAAAGGCAGCAAAATGCAGTGGACTGGTTCTGGAATTAGGTAGCATGTAATCTCTGATTGAGAACTTGATGAACCACTTCTAAAATAGAGATTAGGGATGGTCATCTGTAGCCTCTCCAGAATACTAGCTTAAAACGCAAGTTGCAATTTGAGAGTTGCATTTCCATGACTTCTGCTTCAGTATTAGTAGATCCTGTTCTGATTATGATCAGCCATCTGAAGAACTTGCTCAAATTCAAAATCAAAGTTGTAAGTCTTCTAAATTATACTGACTTCAAGAAAAACCAGATTTACACTTGATGTGCAAAAAACAACACAATTCACTGAACAGTTTCCTGCTAAATGATGATAAATACACTGATATGGGAGTAGAAGATAATAATTGTAAGAGAGTCACATGTGTTGAGAAATAAACAATAAAAATCCCACTAAAAATAACAATAACAATATCCAATAAAACAAATGTACTCTGTAAGTGAAATCTAATATAGATGTAATTTCTGGGGCTGTTCGTGCATGTCAAAATATTTTAAGCTCCTCTGATAAGGTGTTAGGAATGCAGCTCCATACAAAAGCCAACATCACCACAGATAAAAAGTACATGCCCAGGAAATCCTCACAAGTGTTGTCAAGTAATTAGCTCAGTGCCCTTGGCATAATTACTTCAATAGGAAGTACATACATGCATTTCTGAGTTAGGTATATTCTAACTTAACTGAGCAGCACAACATGAATGTTATGTTGTTATTCAGACGTCTACATAAATAAAATGGTTGTGGGAAGAAGAAAAATGGGAGTATCTGGAGCCCCTAAATTTTGTGCACGTATCTATGTGTCTTCTTGATTTTCTCCATTCCTCTTGAATTTTACCTCCCAGACAATTTTGCTACAGCTTTCTTAGATCCCATGAGAAATGACTTGGCTGCCAGATCATCAGGTGAGAAGGAAGACACATGCACATAATGTCTCACGTAAAATACTCTTGAATTTGGACAGTGTGATCAAATGTACTAAGACAGTGTGTCAAAGTAACTGGGTCAGCAAACGGAGACTCAGAACAATGCCTGGACATGGCCAGTGAGATTTCTTTCTTTTTTTTATGAAACCTCCTTACGGCACAAATACATCTTTCTGAATCAACCATTGCCACACAGGTTGGGTTTCACGGAGCCACACTACACATCAAAATGCTAAATCACAGACAGTATTGGGTGAAAATAGCTGAAGGGCCTCAGAAGGTCAGGAAAAGTTTCTAAGGTTGGAAAACACTGAATGCACTGACACAAAGTATCATCTTCAGGATATTTTAAGATTCTTAGGTCATGTATAGTTCTCTGCCCCTCAACTTTGTTGCTGGTAGCATTTCTTCTGTGAATTAGTTGTGTAGCGGTATTGCCATAACCCCAGAAATACAAACAAGGCCATTCAATTGCCCATTACTATTTCATTTTATTGTTTGTTACATTATACATCCTGTTTTGGCTCAAACAAAGCAGGTTTATTTCCTAAAAAGTGAACAAAATACTGCAGGTAAGTGGAAGAACTGGAAACAATCAGGTAAATAAGTTACTGTGTTGTCCAAAATTTCGGGGTTTACGCGGTGTGCCAAGTTCTAATAAATTCCACTGAAGACACACAGGATGGAGGACAGAGTCAGAGATAGTTTATTGCTCTGTTGGGCAAAGAAGGATGCCAGGGGAATTTTCCCAGATCGGGTATATGTCAAGTTTAAAGACATTGACATTTTATAGGCATTTGGAAATAATAGACATTGCTCTGATTGGTACCAATTACAATCCAGTCTTATTGGTTCACAGTTCATTCATTGTTTAAATAAGAGACATTGCTCTGATTGCTACAGATTATGGCCCACAGTCTTATTGGTGTTAAATATATGGTAGGAAACTTAATCAAGCCCTTCATTGGAAGAATTCTTCTATATCCACACCACCCCTTTCCACTTGTGGGAGCTTATTAACATAGAAAGTGACTGTTTCATGGGAAACAATGTTTGCAGATACATGTCAGGGTTGGTAAGGGGACGACTCTTTGATTAAACAATCAATAGTAATCTCTGGATGATGGGACTTCATTGGGGTAAATTCATTGTATTTCTGTGAGATCAGAACCTATCTGCATGCTTGAGCCTGAGGCTTGGCTTCAGCTCAATTGTGTGTGTTGGGAGGAGAATGGAGAAACTGTGTTACTCCAAACTTCCAAAGCTGAGTGGGATAACGAAAGATCATACTTGAACCTCAATGATTTTGGACTTTGGACAATAACTGTAGGGAATAAACTGATATCTGTAAGCTGGAGAATTCGTCCTCTGTTTGTAGAGGTAAGTATCATGTTTGTGGGGCATAGGGGCAAAGACCCCTCAGGAAATTGAGAAAATTTAAGTAAAGAAACATGTTTATAACCTCACTAGGAATTTCTAAATCCTACATTACTACTCTATGGTCAACTTCCACCATAGATTAGTACTAAAACTTGAATTACACTGAAGGATATAGAAGATTATTAATCAAATCTGCAAATAGTAATAGAATAGTAGAATCACAGAGTGGGAAAATACCACCACAGTCACCTAGCATTGCAAGAATACATAATCAAAACATTCCTGGCAGATATCCTCTCCTTACATAGAAGGAGACTCCACCACATTTTGAGGCAGCATATTCCAGTGCCGAACAGCTCATACCATTAAGATGTTCTTCCCAGTGTTTTGGTGGAATATCTTTTCCCGCAATTTAATCAAATTCATAAATGTCGGGGGCTGCCTGTATTACAAAATATTGCCAATCATATTCCAAGATAGGTTTGACAGTACTTCTACATCCTTGAATTCCATTCTGGGAGACAGGCAGGACATAAATCCAATGAATGAAAGAATGAATGAATGGGGAAATATGATGGATATGACTGTTTTCAGTCTGTCTAATATTTACAAAAGTAGAACAGTTAAGTGGTAAAGTTGCCATCAGGAAACACCCTTGCATGTCCAATGAACTGGAATGGCCAACTGACCACCAGTGCAAAGGTGGAAAAGGCGGAATCTTTTGTACTGGGATCCATATCCACCAAAATTGCACTTTTTGACACTTCACCCCCAAATACAAAAGATCAAATCACTCTGGTATGGTTTCTAGTTTCTCCCAGCAGTTTTTGTTGTATATTCGTTCAGTTGCTTCCAACTGTTCATGACCTCATGGACCAGCCCACGCCAGAGCTCCCTGTCAGCCATCTCCACCCAGCACTATAATGCTTCAAACTAAATCCCAATGCCTTATAATGCTTTAGTCTAAAGACCCAATAGTTTTATATACAGAACATCTCAATTACATATACAGGTATATATCATGCAAAACTAGTATTTTCCCATCAGGAAAATTATACTGCACTGCATTATTATTAATTTGTTTTGAGAAAGAGAGGGAAGTCAGTAAATTTGAAAGGTTTCCTATTCTTCAGAAACAGAATATTTCAGACATCTTTCTCAAGAAAAAAAGAAGGAAAGAGCAAGAAAGTTTAATTTTTGAACAAATGTAATGAATACAATTCTTTGAACTAAGGATCTTGTCATATGGAATTTTCCTCCATTTCTACCT